AGCCCGCCACAGCGCCGCCCCCTCCCGCGCTGAGGGGAACCGGCCGCGCCGGGGCTTCACCGCCCCGAGCTTTCGCCCTCCATCTCCCCTCGCTGCTTAATGAAGAAAAAAAAAACATTTAAAGTTGTTGCTCCATCTGCTGTAGTAAACAGCAGCTATTTTATTCCAAAGGTGCTTAACTTGCCACCGCTTGCCAATGTGACGCCCATCTACAAGAAGGGCTGGAAGGAGGATCCGGGGCACTACAGGCCTGTCAGCCTGACCTCGGTGCCGGGGAAGATTATAGAGCGGTTCATCTTGAGGGCGCTCACAAGGCATGTGCGGGACAACCAGGGGATCAGGCCCAGCCAGCACGGGTTCATGAGAGGCAGGTCCTGCTTGACCAACCTGATCTCCTTCTATGACCAGGTGACCCGCATAGTGGATGAGGGAAAGGCTGTGGATTTGGTCTACCTGGACTTCAGTAAAGCCTTTGACACTGTCTCCCACAGCATTTTCCTAGAGAAGCTGGCGGCTCACGGCTTAGACAGGTGTACTCTGCGCTGGGTAAAAAACTGGCTGGACGGCCAGGCCCAGAGAGTTGTGGTGAATGGAGTTAAATCCAGTTGGCGGCCAGTCACGAGCGGTGTTCCCCAGGGCTCAGTACTGGGGCCGGTCTTGTTCAATATCTTTATCGATGATCTGGATGAGGGGATCGAGTGCACCCTCAGTCAGTTTGCAGACGACACCAAGTTGGGCGGGAGTGTTGATCTGCTCGAGGGTAGGAAGGCTCTGCAGAGGGACCTGGACAGGCTGGATCGATGGGCCCAGACCAACTATATGAGATTCAACAAGGCCAAGTGCCGGGTCCTGCGCTTCGGCCACAACAACCCCATGCAGCGCTACAGGCTTGGGGAAGAGTGGCTGGAAAGCTGCCTGGCGGAAAAGGACCTGGGGGTGCTGGTTAACAGCCGGCTGAACATGAGCCGGCAGTGTGCTCAGGCGGCCAAGAAGGCCAATGGCATCCTGGCCTGTATCAGAAATGGTGTGGCCAGCAGGAGTAGGGGAGTGATCGTGCCCCTGTACTTGGCCCTGGTGAGGCCGCACCTCGAATACTGTGTTCAGTTTTGGGCCCCTCACTACAAGAAGGACGTCGAGGTGCTGGAGCGTGTCCGGAGAAGGGCAACGAGGCTGGTGAGGGGCCTGGAGAACAAGTCTGATGAGGAGCGGCTGAGGGAACTGGGGTTGTTCAGCCTGGAGAAGAGGAGGCTGAGGGGAGACCTCATCGCTCTCTACAACTACCTGAAAGGAGGTTGTAGCGAGGTGGGGGTCGGTCTCTTCTCCCAAGTAACAAGCGATAGGACGAGAGGAAACGGCCTCAAGTTGCGCCAGGGGAGGTTTAGATTGGACGTGAGGAAAAATGTCTTTACTGAAAGAGTGTTTAAACATTGGAACAGGCTGCCCAGGGAAGTGGTGGAGTCACCATCCCTGGAAGTATTTAAAAGACGAGTAGATGAGGCGCTTAGGGACATGGTTCAGTGGACATGGTGGTGTTGGGTTGATGGTTGGACTCGATGATCTTAGAGGTCTTTTCCAACCTGAATGATTCTATGATTCTATTCTATGATTCTATGACTTCCAGAAAGGAGAAAATGTAAAATGTGTTTTTAATCTTTGAAAATCTCCTCAGCAATGATTTGCTCAGGGTCACATGCCAAAACTGTGGGAACAGAAAGCCCTGTGAATCAAGCCCTAAAAAATCTCTCATTAAAATTTAAGCCCTTTTCCCAGAGTTGTTCCTCAAAGTTAGGTTCACGTAACTAGCCCATACTTTTCAAGCTGTCTCATATTGGGCTCTTTTGAGGCAATTTCTGCTTGCTGGCCCTATACCGTGTTTGACCCACCTTCCACAAAGCCTTGAGTAGCTCAGCAGCAAAGGTTTGTGTCATTCACTGTGGTTTTTTGCACATCACAAATGGCTACAATGTCCAGTGCAGGCTAATAACTCCAGAGAAATTAAAAATAGTATCTTAAAATCCTCAACATTTTCTCAGCCACTCATTATTCAGCAATAGTTTTCTACTCTTTTGGAAGATTAATTTCTGATAGAACTCTCATAGGTTTAAAATAGATGATTCATACAGAAGTGGAATTCTAATTAAGAAAACTCTGGAAAGGCTTAAGCTGCCTTAAAATTGTACCAGATGCTATTGTTCCTGTTTTATTTAACTTCTCACTGTGAATATCTGGAGGGAAGCTACTAAAGCAGCACCATCTTGGTCTGTCCTAGGGATGCAGCTACAGGAAGGCAGTTGGTGAAAATTAAAAACAAAGAATGAAAACAGCTGTGTAGACAAAAAAACCAACATACCATAATTCCAGCAGCAACAAATAAACATTGACAGCAAATAAATATGCATTTTGTTACAGAGAGCACATAATGCTCAGGAAGCATAAAGGCAATTACAAGTAACATGGTAATAGGAAACTTAATGAAGGACTGGTGTCTTTGTAACTAGGTGGTACAATGTCTTTAAAACGGACTTTCTGAACAGTAAATGCTTATTTTCCAAAACACATTTAACTAATTCAACTGGCAAACCATTTGACTTTACTTCATTCACTGTTTGAAATTTATAAACTCAGCAGTCAGGGCTCAATGCTGTAACACTGCCTGAAATCAACGGTCCATTGAATATAGTGTGGAGATAAAGAGTTGTGGATTGTCTACATTTGTACTATCTTCTTTTCCTCAAACACTGAGCAATTTGTTATAATCCCTTATGCATTTCATAACACATAATTTCATTTCAGAACAGTAATAATGCAACAGGTAAGACCACACTGTTTTTTAACCTCGTATACTGTTTCAATAAGCAAAGTCATTATTCCAATAGCACTCGCTCATAATAGTAAGCTGTAGGTTCCCCAGTTCCTGGGGATTCTTTTAATCAAATTGCTGAAACTAAATAATTAGGCATATAACTGTGAGTTTAAATAACCTATCGGCAAGTTAATTGCTGATGCAACTCCACGGACATCTACAGGTTTAAATCTAGCTCCATCTCTGCAACTTCTAAGGCTAAATTGGTTAATGGTACCGTGGTGGCACAAAACTGCTGCATTTCTGCATTGCAGTGGGCACAGAGGCGAGGCTAGAAAGCGGCTTCCAAAGTCACCCTCTCTAGCACGGATTGGATGACAGAGGGCAGCCGGCAGGGAGAAGAGGTGGCCCACTGCATCTATAATTATGCAGAAGAGTAATCACAAAACATCGCGATGCAGGTGTGGGATGATTACAATCCTTATTTAAACAGAGAAACTATGACAGGAACCAGGGAGACTTTGCTCCGCTGAGAGCAACTTTGTTGTTGTTTTTTACTGATCAAACCATTTAATAGGTATCTAATCCTACCCTAATTTTGAGAGAGCAAATAGCAAGCAACCATTTATGCTCATGAGCAACGTCTCATTAAAGTGATCAATATATTCATTCACAAGGCAGGAAACAACTATTTCTACTCTCAGATTTTCTTCTTACCTCCACAACTTCTTCATATTCTTCTTCCTCCATTTTGAGGGTATTCTTCTGTCTCTCCCCAACTCACTGGTCACGCAGCAAATGAAAGTGTGAATATACAGTATTAGCCCAAGACTGAAAGTACTATGAAAAGCTACTAGTCAAGTTCATAAAGCGCCTGAGTCACAGTTAGTAACTAGTCAGATTATTACAACGTTGTTGGCTAATCAGTGAAAGAACTTGAACAACAGAGAGAACAAAAGTTGGGGTCTGGCGTTACTTTGTTTCTCACTACTATAGGAAAGCATTGGATTAAGTTTCAAACATACTGATATAAATTACAGTTTTGGACAAATACTTTATTCTAGTAGTTGTAACTTCAATATTGGAATTCAATGAAAATAAAAAAAAATTAGAGGAAGAGATTTCTTGAAGTATGATTTGATTTTTTTCATTAAACAAAATTATTTGAAGAATTTTTCTTTTCTCTGTGAGTATTCTATACCATTTCATTACATTATTCAAGCTCCTGTTTGAATGGGAGCTTTATCTGTATATTTGGCTATATTCATTCACAAGTAAAAGCATGATGTAGAAGAAGATTGTAATTTTTTTTTTTAAGTGACCTTAGGTTAAGGAGGCAATTTCTGTCTTCCCAGCATTAGCCTATACAGATGCTCTGGGATTTTTTTTTTTTTTTAGTTCTTGTGGCTTTTTTCTCTCTATTTCTTCAGACCTGGAAAAAACGAAAATCCATACAGTTGGCTGAATTACAAAGTACAGATTACTGTCAAAACCTTTAAACGAATTAATTAACACAATGATTTTGCTATGAGGCAAAGCTACAATTCTCCACCAGAGACTAGAGCCCTGTTTCTAATGTTGGTAGGGGATGAGGCTTTGGAACAGCTGTTCCTGAGTCCAAAGATATTTGCCGTGTAAGCTAATACTACCAAATGACGGGGTGGTTTTGTTTAGCTGGCTAAACTGCAATTCCTTCTGAGGCAAGTGAAGTCTAGTAATGCAGGTTAAATATAGGAACATAGAATACTGTCCCTTTTTAGTTCCAATATGTTGAGAAAAATTACCAAAAAACCCATCAATTTGTTAAACCAGAATGTTAACTATTAAAATAAATGAAGAATAACTCAATTAATAAGTGACATCATGTGAAAAAGTAGGCCAAAATTTATGAACAAACCCAAGAGGTAGGGATTGCATGTAAGGATACAATCTATACAACTTGTCACTATTATAATCTTCAGTTACACTTCCAAAACACAGTTCCAGGTCCTTTCCTCTTACTGCGATTTGCCACTAGTCATCCAGACAGAAAATCTGACTTCCATGGACAAGGCACGACAACTACTCCCAAAAAACTACAGAATCAGGAAACAGCTCAAGATCCTATTCTAAGGAAGACAAGTCAAATGTGATTAAAATGTTCTTACCAGCAACATCTAGTAAATATCCTTAGGAGCAAAGCCTCTCCAGTCTTCCCTCCTGAGCAGCACTGGGTGAGAGCAAGGCTGGTGCATCAGCTCCTAATTACTCATGTGGCTAGCACAGCCAATCTGGCTCCAGCCCGCTCAAGTTTCAGCCCTAAATATAATTGGTGACCCCGGAGGAGGCCACCTGTTCTCAGCAACATGAAGGAAAAGGGAGCTGGGCACTTCTGTGCTCCCGAGGAAACCCAAAACACACCAGAGCTTGACTGAACTTCACCAGGTCTCTGCTGAAATGGATCCCTGTGCAAATCCAAGGGAGCACTCAAATGGATAAAAACCATGCGCATTTTCTTCTTTCAGAATTTATAGTAGTGATTAATTTGAATTTACAATTTCATTCCTATATCGTACCTCAATCAAAACTATCCAAATTCAAGAATCTCTGAACTTCAGAGAAAAGAGAGAGGAGTCTGGACTTCAAATTAAATTTTTAGTATAAGTCTGTCTTTAATTTCCTCCCTTAAGTATACCTGAAGTGCTTTATCAACTTAACTTGATGCAAACCACGTGTCAATAATTTTGTCACTTCTTATGAAACGTTACATAGCTGAACACATGGACCTGGGAACACGTAAAAACTGACTACTTGCAAGGAACCCGATTAACAGCCAATATGTGTGATGAAGAAAGACTAAGAATACCTGATAAACAGATTAAGTGACAGAGGAGCAATTCTAATGTACAAAGTATTTTGGAAGGTCAAGAATTATATGATGTATGGAGTAGAATCATGGTGATGATAGCAGAACTGACCTCTTAGGTCATCTAGTTGACTCACATAATAGGATTGCTTTAGTTCTTCAAGGAGGTGCATTTACAAGCCAATACCAACAATGATCTCTTTTCATATACTATACCACATAATTCAAAAAAATGATTGTCAGGAGCCCTTGAGAGACACTTTCTTGTTCCTTAACACTTTCCAGAAGTTAATATTTATATCCAGATGAAATATCATATCTCATTCACTACTGCCAAGTATTTTATACTCTGCACAGAGCTGTAGATCTGTCCCTTTCTCCTTTAGGCAAGCTATATGATTTCAATTATTTAGCATTTTGCTTTACTAGGCAATCCTTCCCCTTTTAATCTTATTTCTGTTTATTTAAAAGTCTTTTGGTTTCTTAACAGCTTTTGAAGATGTCCAGAAATGAATATAGCATGTTGATGGAGTCTCAAGAGAGCAATGTCAGCTTAACCTTCTGCTCTCCAATCCAGATCCTGTGTGCGTGCATTCCAGAAATAACTCACAGTCATTTTTTTCTCTCCGAAGTACTGCTTTTCAGTTGATTGGATGCATAATGTGACACCTACATAAGTGATGACAAACCTTTATGTAGTGAAGGGCCAATTTTTTTAATTAAATATGTAATTCATTGTTGTTGTTTCCAGCTCAAATCTCTGTTGATGCCAAAATCAGCTCCATGGCTGGTGACTCACCATCCCCCTTCTTGGTTCTTTTCAGCAAGTTGTACTTTACATTGCTCTTCTTGTAAATGGCATTCCCCCATAGTCACTGCTACAGTATTGGATATTATTATGCCTCATTCCAATCACCTGATTTAAATCAGGTTTACTAGATCAACAGAAGCTTGTATTCCTCTGTCCTGATGGTTATTCTGACAAAATTAGCAAGCATTTTCAAACGGGATGCAATTTTCTGTGCAGTTCTCTCGCAAGTTCCTGCAAACAATCTCTCCCTTAGCAATATACTCTGCAACTCCTAGCTTACTGGAACATCACCTTCAGATTGCATTACAGTGCTCTTCAACATATCTTATTTAGAAAGACACTAAACAAGGCCAAAATCACATGCAGGATGCAAGTACCACTTTTTCTGCTACTGAAATGCAACTGTCTTTGGTGTGTAACACGGCAGATCTTTAGCAGCAGACAGTTCAGGGCTGGAAACGAAGCATGGAATAACCCAAAAAATTACAGAAGGGGTTTAAGAAGCAAAAGTGTTACTGCTGAAACGAAAAGTTGGACAGAACATAAGATTTATGTTCCGACATCAGAACATGAAGAGGGGAGGGGAGTGCTCTTAGGTCACCTACGGCTGCCAGCAAATCTTTCGATTCTTACATTTGCTGCTTTGCTCCTTCAGGTCCAAATCTCAGGGAACAACTCTGACAAAACTATCACTACTAGCTTCATTTTTGTTTAAAACTGAAAAAACTCCCACTACATTTTCTATGATTTCTACTCAAGTCCACAATTGGCTTTTATTGGTGGAAATTTATTGTGTGTTCACTTAAGTGCTTTTATCTACATACAACACATACCAATAAATGGATCTTTACACACCTGCCTATATATACATAAGTTGTTCTTTGTATATTTATATGTAATACCTAAACACATGCACACATATCTTCACATATGTCTATACATTGGTCTTCACTGTGGAAATAAACTACCATGCTTATTGTTACATTTCATATCATTCACTTCTCAGGACCGTTAAAATGTCAATGATACATATTGATATCAAAATATCAGCAAGTACGCATGCTGAAGTAGAACATGCATGAGGTAAATGGAATACTAATGGTTAATATTCCTTTAATATTTTTTTTAATTGCCTTATTGTGAAAATTTGTGTCTGTGACTCGGATTTCAAGTCACTGTTTGCTGGGGGACTTTCTGGGGGACAAACGTTTCAAAGGCATTAGGAAAATTCTGCTGTAGGTGACACCCTGGCGGTTCTGACATAGGGTAGCACACCAGACCAAATTGTTTTATCCACAGTACATAAATACGCATATGCTCAGCAGTTTTGAAGTGAAAAGGCAGAACAGTGGAAGATGACTAAGGTAGAGGAAGATGTTGTGCATTTAAATGGCCCAAAATTTTAAAGCAGAAAATATTTTCTTGTACTTAACTTTTTAAAATTATATTTATCAAACCGTAACCACTCGGGGCAGGGGGAAAGGAAGGAAATAACGTGTGACCTTCTCTAGATTTATTTAGAAGGTATATAATACAAGAACTATGAAATAGCAGCCTACATATACTCACTCCCCTAACCCACACACCATTCACATACAAAAACTCACTGCTTTTTTCTAGAACTGCATTTAGTTCTTTTTGGGAGGCAGTCTTCCACCTATGAAAAATATGTAAGCTAATCTGGAGCCTGATCAATATAGAGGATCCGTACGTAAGGACCACAGGGCAGCCACACGATAACCCCTTCAGCCCCAAAAGACACAACTGTTACAGAAATTCTAGTTTTCTACAACCTCCCCGACGGTTAGTGACATTTGTGTATTGTCTTGATCATTCATTCCCTCGTATTTCTTTTATAGTGCATCGCTCTTTAGATTCCAGGGTAGAGTTTGGAAGAATTTTAATAAGCCAAGGCCAGATCCCACATCATGACACCCAGGCAGTACATATCATTGAACTGCAAGCCTGCAATTATTTCCTGAAGACGACGACTTCAAGATTCAAGAGACTTTCTACCCATCCTTGCATCTGTTTGATGGAAAATTACACAGGAAATCTGTTGTGCCAGAGATTACACTGGCTTCTCTGTGTCTTGCCCTTTGTGTGGAAAAACTTACTGACATCATGGGTACTATATTTAACCTCCTGAGGTAGTCAGTAGACCACCCGGACTTAACAAGCATTGTATCATTGAAAAAGGACATATTTTAATACATATTTGTGTCATTGTGTCTATTTTTTAACTACCATCATTAAGTTACTTTTCATTATTTTCACCATTCCTTTCTGCCCACCAGATTTTGCACAGGAAAGCTGGAAAAAAAAAAAATCTTGTACTTCAGCATTTACAGGGCTCTCACCTAGGCTAACCACGTGTCCAAAATTTTCCTTTAGAGTGCAGTCTCCACCAAAAATCTAAAAATGCACTGGAGACTATAAGACGTGACATGTATGTTGCTTATCATATACAATCTGCGAGACACTAATATTCAACCTGAAAAATGCTGTAACAATCAAAAAGCCTTAAACATGAAAGCCATTTAGTCTGGGAGGAAAGCGTTAACCAAAGAGCACAACATAAGCTTCAGAGCCCTAAAAATAAAGTAATTCTTGTTAGATAAGCTGTTACCAGCCTCTGCCGGGAGGCCCGCAAGGTATATTTATATTTGCACTCCGGGGATCCAAACGATAGAGGAAACAGGTGTAGAAAATGTGAGTCATAGAAACTCCACTAACAATGAAAAAGGGAGTGAAAAAGGGAGTTCGGTAAGGGTTTTCCCTCACCGTGTTGTTCTTACAAGGGCTTGCTCTTACCAGTATTTATTGCACCTTCCTATGTAGGTGGGGAATGAACCATGACCTATTACAAGCTGCAGTAATCACATCAAGACACAAGTACATGTGCTACCAGAGCCAGCACAATTTAAAGATGCCAATGCCTGCATGAACATTGTAGTAGACCATTATCTTGTATTTTTTCCCAAAGAACAGTTGTCATATTGAGACCATATACAGTCAAGCCTGTACATGGTTTCTAGATCCCGGGTGGACTTAGATGATGAAGTCAGGTGCAAAGGCACTGGCTGATACCAGGACTGAAATAGCTAAGGGGGCATCCTCCCAATTTAGGGAACCTCAGTGGATTTGTCTTGCTACAACATTAGAAGCATCTGAGGAAAGCATTTTCAGGAACTCAATACTGAATCTATATGTCACTTAAGTTGGCAGCATAGCGTTGATTGAGCAAAGAAATATCTGCACTTTGAATACATGCCATACATCTCTGCAATGTCTGTGACTGTCATGCAGCCTAGTAACTAAGACATGGTGTTAAGTGTACAAGCAAAGGAAAAGGCATGTTCTCCTAGGACGAAAAATCTTTATTTGTCGGTATTTGCCTTATTTTTTCTTCCTACTAATTATCATGCGGTAAAAGTGGCATATCATTTTAGAAGTATGCAAAAGTCACATCATAAGAACTTCAGCTATATTCAGGGAAAGAAAAGCTTACACAAGTAAGGTGAACTTGTGCCTCTTTAATGGCCTAACTAAGCTCTCGCTTCATAAGCTGCAGGTGCAAAATTGACAGACGAGGATATGAAATGTAACAATGTGTTCTCTTTTTAAAAAATTCAGTTACAG